ATAATAATATTGAAGTTAAATTCAGGGACAATTTGTTATACGGATTTTAAAATGTAATTAAACGTGCTTATGTTTGTTCCAGTGAATAAAGAAACATTTAATCCAGGAGAAATGGTCGAATGGTCTTGTAAACATAGCAGAAGTAGATCAAATTGTTTATACATAAGATATAAATCGGTGTATGAATGAATGTGTGACTTGTTTGAGCTGGATTTTTCGTATTAGCTTACTTACTGTATTTACCGCATAAATATAGAAATTAAATTCCATTTCATTTACTACAAATTTACAGCTCTTCCAATTTTGTTCATAAACAATCTCTAAAATTTAATAAGCAGTACTGTTATTGTTGGAATATTATAAAATTTATGCGTTTGTTAAACGAGTAATTATTTTTGTTTGCATATTGAATATGTTCACATAAAATTACACAAATAGGCTCCACATTATATATCTCCAGAGAGACTGTACAGCATAATTTATCAAAAATAAATGCAACACTTAGTTTCAGTTCAGGTGGATTTAATTGAGTCTCATTAAGGGATTTCATTCATCGTATTTCGTTTCTACTGATGTTATTACATAATATAGAGTATCTACATAATTGAATACAATTGATGGGAAAAAGGAAAATTAAGCAACTTAAGTAGTAAGACCGGATTTTCGAGATTTTGCTGCATATGTGCAACAAGCATTAAAAAATAGTCAAATAAAAGTTTATTACAAATCTTTGGAGTCTTCTTGTTAGTAGCGTTTAGAGATCTAACCTCCCTTAACCTACTTTACTTGTTATGCCTAATATTCAATCAATTTTAATACATATCTTCTAAAAGATTCTTCGATGAATAGAAAAGATCATGAATAAGTTTTTTGCTTTGCATAAACTTTACATAAATTGATGAATAGGAAATTTTCTTTCAACGTTGAATCTCCTTCAAAAGAGAATGATTTTTAATCTAAAAGTCTTATGAATTCTCATCTTTATAAAATGGATCTATAGATGTGATTTAAATATCATGTAATGATGTATGATGTAAATCTAAATATGGGTTTTAAAATTTATAGGAAGTTGAATGACTAAATTTTCCGGAAGCTTAAAATGTCAATTAATGTTCATGTAGTAAGGTACACAAGGATGCTTACGAGATGATGTTCTATTAATAAAATCATAACTTTTTGCAATTTGCCTACAAATCAGGAAATAATGAAAAATAAAGAATACTTAAAAGAGAAATGAAATTTTATGATTAAAAAAAAATGGAGAGAAGATGGATTAAAAGTAATGTCTGTAGTTCAAGTCTGCTAGAACATCAATGGATGCTACATAAGGATAATTAGCTACTAATCTCATGCTCGACTATTCTATAAATTTTTAAACAATCTCCAACAAGAGGCAAAACTATTTTGTTCAATCCTTACAAATCTCACATTTCTATGATTTTATATCCAAAATATATTCTCATTTTTATACAATGGATTGTCATACATGCACACAATGAGAAAACTCAAGTTGACATTTAGAATAATTCTCGAAATTCTTTTTCTCATTTAGTTTTCTCTTCATGTCATTTTACTATCAAATGCTTCGTTTACAAGCAGGAAATGATTTTTCCTTATTGCTCATTTCTCTCCGTCTCTCATATGCCCGTGAATGACTGAATAAGGAAATTGTTGATTTTCATAATTTTACCATATTTCATTTTATTCCTTTTCATATCGCATATAAAGATATTACTTTTTACATTTGAGCAATTTTTTCAATAATATTCTTATCAATTCTGGAATTTTATCTTTGAATTCAAATAATCACAATTGAAATATTTTTTTTATAACCTTGACTACATTCATGTGGATTATGATCCTATTATGTAGCTTTTTGTTGTGTTTATTTAAATTTAAAATTTTCTTGTGCTATTGTTTGCAGAAAGAACATAGAAAAATAATTTTATGACAAAAAGGGAAATAATGGTAGCATTCACTGGAGACGCTTGAAAGTATATTAAATAAAGAAAGAGAAAAAAAAAACTTCAGACAAGCATGATAATTTAATATCTTATATCTTTTGTAACTTCGTCAGTTTTTCTTCCTCTTCTGTGACAGAAATTTTCCTTCTCAGTCAAGACGAGTACATGTAGAGATCCCGAGCTGTATATTATTTTATCTTATTTGCCTTACTTATTATGAACTATTGCTGGAAATTTACCATCCAGCTGTTGAATAATAATATGTATTGTAACAATGAACCACTCGGGGATAGAAGACGAAGCGAAAATATTTGTAAATAGCGAAACATTAATGTGTATAGTAAGCGGCTACATAGACAAGCCAAATATCGTATGAAAAAGTTTTTTTTTCGTCTTTTAATGTTGAAAATATAAATTTTCGTGCTTATTGAAATATTTATCACTATAAAGAGAATAAATAAATTTTCTTCTTTCTTGTTGTCTTGTTTTGTTTGCTATTTTGGAACATAGGGGATAGAAAATTGTTGATATAAATATTTGGTGACTTTTATCCTCTAATATCAATAGAAGAGACCGAGGAAATAATAAATTCATTTATTCTGAAAGTTTTAAAAATTTCATTAATGAAATTCAAACCGTGAAGTTTTTTTTGAACTTATTATTGAAAGCTTTTAGTTCTCAATAAACTAGAAATGATGCTACAAAATGTTATGTCGATGTTATTTGCTTTACATCTAGGTCATCTTCAAAACTACTCTATTTGTCTGATTCCCTGAGGACTCTATTTAAAATACTAATAATGTTAAAAGCAAAAATTTGTTAGAACTGACCACCAGATGTTCGTCAACATAATAATGAAATTTTATCATCAAGTAATTAATATTTTATGAACTTTTGGCTAATGCACTTTGACTAAATGGTCAGTTTATGCGGTAAATTATTTTTTTTTGTGGAAGCTATTTCTCTAAATTTTTAATGTCGAACTAATGTGAATATCCGTAAATTTTAAATTCTAAGCATCATTTGGATGAAACTTTTATGCATTATGAAAATTCAGAATTATTTATAATCGCCCTTTTATGTTCGTTTGAATGGTCAAGCATAATATTTTCTATTAATAGAAAAATACTAAGTTGAAAACTTTTTATTTTAGATCCACTTGTTGAAATAAATACCCCAAAAATCAAAATTTTCAACCTGATTCTTTTCCATAACAACATCTATTATACATTACATCCCACAGCTTTTGGCTATGTCTAGTTTCATTAAAAAAATATTTATCCGAAATGAAACCCCATTTTTTGTTGTAAAGATCCACATCACATCTGTAAGTAATAGTTCCTTAATGACTCATAAAAGCTACACAGCAAAAAAAGGAACAGAAATTTTTAAAAAAATACATAAATTTCAATTCCATGAACATAACTCAACATGTAGGACATGTTCAAATTAACAACAAGAAGCAAAAAATGTGAACAATAAAATCCAATTGAGTTTTTTTAAATGAAAACAACACAAAAAAAAGTTCATCGCTCAAATGTTCATTTTGTGTGACATCTGTTCATTCTTCATAGTTCATTTCATTTCCATTTTATTTCACATGGTCATGGCATATTTTCTTATCATCATTGCATTTCATTGTTGATGATACACATGACATTATTTGCGATGAAAATAAATTAAGAGTAAACCAAAACATTAAAAAAAAGAATTGTGTGAATGAATATGATGAATGTGAATGAGAATGAAAAATAATAATAATAATCTGCGTAATGTTTTCGTGCACTTGACAAAAGTCATAAACAAAAAAACATACGTACATAAATTGAGGAAATCAGTAGTAATTTTGTAATAAAAAGAGAATTCTCAATCATTGTCATATAATCTTTTTCAATTTATCACATCGCATAATATTATTGGTTGACATGTGTAATGAGATTATTTTCATATTTTTTAAAGATTAACTTTCGAGCATGATGCTTTGATGTATGCTACTTAAATATTTTTATTTTATTTTATGATAAGATATAAATTTTATCTTCGTTCTGCTTCTTGTGAATGAACTTGTGAATCATTTAGTAGAAACTCTGGAAAAATTTCGGCAATATGTTGTTTTTGAAGCTCAAAATCGTGCCTTTGCTTGATGATATCAAGAACAATAAAAGTCGTGTGTCATAATCAACATATTTGTGTGTTCATAAAAAGCATTCGCGTATGTCATAAAAACAATTCTAATTCAGATTAAGTAGAGGCATGTGAATATGTATCCATGACGCATTTTGATTTGTAGATTCAATTGATATTAAATTATATTTTTTGGAATGTTCACGTGATATTTATTGGAATCACGGCTCGAAACTAGACTGTCTTGAATGGGAAACGAACCCGCGTTATTATGATTTTTTTAAATTATCTACTGAAGGCCTACTTAATACTGTTAATCTATTTTAAATCTTTGCAATTTTTTCATCAATTTCTACTAAGCAAAAAGCATTCAACAATAGATGATCTCAAAACTACTAAAACGTGACAAAATCTTCATTAAAACAATGTCGTCCAGCAGAGTTAATCCAACCATTAACTAAAACTATCGTACATCTCCATATCTCTATTTCCATCGTCAACAAAGACCTTCAGCTGCCTCAATATTAATTGAATGAGATTTTAAAGATTAAGATCTATATATTTCATTCTCCATTACGCTATTAGAGATGATAAAATATGTATTTTCTCAGTCGACTGTTAGATTTAACGCTTAAGTGGACTCAAATGTACAGAATAGACGACAATGAAACAATGAACTATGTCGACAAGCGGCAACATGTAAAAAGCTTTTAATTTTTTTTTAAATTCGATTTGTCTGGAATGACCGACAAGAGAATGTACTTGAGAAAAGTAGATAAAAATATCAAGGGATATTCTCAAACACCCCATTTGATGATGTTTAAAGTTTTTATTCTTAATCATTTCACTCTAAAGATAAGAACGTAAGATTTTTTATAGAAGAAGGAAGTAGAATGTGATTCAATTACTTACAATATTGTCAACAGCACCATTGGGATCATTTTATTTATCGTCCTTACGTTTTCGCTTTGCCAGTTACTTTTATTTTACTTTTAGGAGCAAAACAAATTGAACTATTGCAAGAATCTTTCTGAAAATATAAGAACATAAATAGAAATTAAGAATTATGTTTTGTAAAACTAAATAAGTCATCTATATCAATATTATCATTTTTATGATTCAAATTTTTCTCCCATGTAAATAAATCTGTCTTGTTTTCATCATGTCGTACTGCAAACATCAATTAAGATAATATGAGGAAGGAAAAACTTATTTTGTATAGGAAAAAAAAACTTTTATGTAAATATTAGCATAGGAAAATGTCTGAGAAAATATCATCTCTGCATACACACAGACAGGACAGTACGTCTATCAAGGAAATATTTATTTATTGAAGACTGAATGAGGGCGATGAATTTGAATAAATTGATTTGTTAGATGATATATACACAAGACCTTATACACATATCTACATGAGAAAAGAAGAAAAATTATAGGAAAATTTATGTTTTCTTCGTCCTGTTCTCATTTCCTCTTACTTCCTCCTCATTTACATTTATCCAAAAATCTCTATCTATCCATCTGTCAGTATATCAAACACCAATTGACCTCGATATATATGACGAAAAGTGATATCCTCACAATAATCAATCAATCTAAATGATGAACTTTTCTGTATGAATGATATTTTCGTATATTATCATCACAAACTGTCTATAATCTTTGCTCATTTTGTATATGAGTTAATTTACAAGTTGATGGGACATGTTAAGGGAAGTTATGGTTAGATTTGACTTCGGATTCAAACTTACAGTGATCTTCAAATAATCTCAAATATTGCATTTAATTCTCCAATACCCTTTTTATTAACGATTAACAATGAACGTTCAAACCACAAAAATTGATTATTTCAACACAAATAATTTAACCAAATCTGCCAATAATTAATTTTATGATCTATTATGAAATTCACACCCCCTCAATTATGAAGTTAATTAGGATGTTCATCATGCTTTTAACACATTACCCAATCAATTAATCATTTGGTTAATAAAGAACGCCAATTATCATTTAGTCAAATTTCATTATCATTCCAACATTATTTTCACATTAAGTATCTCAATTAGCATGTGAAAATAATTAAATCAATCAATATCGCATTAAAATTAATATTCCCGAAAAAGAGTGATCAACCCTATGAAATAAGGATAAAAAGGACTAAAGGCATAAATATAAAGATGAGATAATGTGTAAATATCATAAATGAATGAGAAAAGAGAATTTCTTATTCAAATATTGCAAAAACATTTTCGTTTCATTTGGTGAATCCCAATTCCAATTGATTGTATGCTATCAATGATAATAAAAGCATTTATTGCCATTATATCAATCTTTCAATTAGTCTTCATGCAATGGAATTTTGCTATGTACACGTAACATTAATTTCGATACTCAAATCTGAATGCAAACGTTCAGTTCTAGGTACGAGATGCATTTAATATTCGTAGATTATGTTGATTATCGTATCATCAAAATATTCGTTATCTCAACGACTCTACATGCTTTATGCTGATTCATTCCCAGAAGAAGGAAAATCGAAAATCATTTCATGTTATGCATCATCAAGCAATAATCACATTTTTCATCGTCTTTCAATTTTTTATTTATTTTTTATTTATATATTTCCAATACACAGAGCATCAAAAGTATTCGAATCATCGCTGTTTTTCACACATTCTTGCTTTTATGTTCCTTCATCGTGCTTTCACACATATATCTAGATTTATTTTCATGTTTATATGCTTTCATGCTCGAATGACTTTTTAAAGGCGGCCTAATCATGAAAAATGCTCAACACAAAATTTTTCTTCCTTTTTCGTCACTTGAAAAATTCTTTCCTTCCTGTCAAGCAACTGCTGAAATTTATTTATTTTTCTCTCGGAGACATGATGGAAAAGTAAATTTTCTACATATGTGCATGCACGCGGAAATAGCTTCAGCTTGATAATTTCTTTTAACTCGTTGATGCTTTGTCACCCTTCTTAATGTTATCTGAGTAAATCAGTATCATGAAGGTAATTAAAATTTGGAAGCTTTTTGGGTAGAGTGAGTGAGGAGGAATATGTCCCTACCTTTTTTGTGATTTGATTAAATTCTTTTATTTTTGAAACTGCAAGCAGTTCAGCTTGTATGAAGTTTTGCATTAAAAATTTAATTCAAAAATTCCTTTAAAACTGCATAAATTGCTCTGTCACTTTAAGAAATGTGTTTCAAAGTCGTGCAACATGCAACAAAAAAATCTCAAATCCTCGAAACAAATTACGAAATTCCTTAAAGATATAAAGTAAACAAAATTATTTCAAACTTTGTGTAATTTTGAACATAAACACGAGCATCTTTAATGCTAATTCTTGTCACAAAAACTTTTTTGTGCTTTTATTTTCCTTCATTTAAAGAGTAAACGAAACTTTTTTTTCTTATACCAGAAAATTTTCCTCAATTTTGTAATGAAATTTATGATTTTTTTTTTTCGTATTATCTTGATGGTATTACATGCGTGTGGGATAAGGGTATGATTACCAAGTGTGTATAAAAAAGTATGTGTCTTTTAAGACCAAAGACATTTAGTGACAAAAATAAGATAAGAAACATTAAGTGAAGCTGGCATCGAGTGTTACTTTTATTAGATTATTTTTGATTACATTAAAATTGCCAATTCCATTAATGATTTTAATGTTGCAACTTCAAAAGATTAAAATTATGAACCAATATTGAATTTCTTCAAAATTTTATGTCAGTTCCATCAGCTATCATTAAACATACAGCAACATTATTTTTTTTATCAATTTAATGACATTTTTTTCTTATGTTCAATTTATTATGGTGGAAGAAAAAGAACAACTGATGAAGCATTAAATTTCCACATTGCTCACTGACATTTTGAGCACATTAACAGGATGGGCGTCTTTATGACTTCATTAAAATTTACGCTGAAAGAAGGAGAAAAAAAGTTTCGTTCATGTTAGATAAAAATATCGTGAAATGAGTTCTAAATTCTTTTTATTCTCTATCTGATTTTTGAGACATGACTTGGGTGTCTAAAGGTTTTTGATTGATAGAATCATGAGTCTGCTTTTTCGGTGACTAGGTATGATAATGATTTTGTTAATAATATTTGCATTCGATTGACTATATCCAAAACATTAGGGCTCAAATTTACTTGATAAGTTAAAATTAAAAACACCCAAAATGAGTCCAACAGATAGACATCCTAATCAAGTCTATAAATAAGTATCTTAATAATAAGATGATGATGCCATTCCTTTTATGAGTTCTTATCTCACATTAGTGTTATTTTTATCATAAACATGTGTATTTATGCTTGTGATGCCAGTAGATTTATCATTAATTTCCCCCTTCTTGCCTCGACGTGGGTTCATTGTGTTTCTCCGCTAGTTGATTATCATTCTTCTTTTCCTTCATTCACGGATACAAACTTAAAGGTATGAATGAAAGTTTTCTGAACCTTTAAATTGCCAATTAAAATTCTTTTTCTATCCGAATTCTCTATTTCCATTCTATGCTTCAATTTATCAAATCGCATGTGTGATACAACCTCACTTGTTTGCTACATTCCCGCATGAATCATTGTTTTCTATCTTGCATTTCTATTTTCATTTGAATTTATTTTCCGCTTATCATTGATTTGACATCTCGCGATATTTCATTGGAGCATCGCATTGATATAAATAAAATTCAATTTTTTTGATGTAGGAATAAAAAAAAAGGAAATAAAAATACTACATTTAGCAATTGAATCGCTAATTGGAATGTCAAATTACGAAGAATACGTGTACTGCGAACGAATATAATATATTTACGAATGCACGCATTTAGATTAAGCCTCACTATCATATCGGCATAACAATTAGCAACAAAATATCATTTCTCTACGGCTTCTGCTGATGCATGCATGAGGATGAGATTTTTTTTGTCTCTAGCATAAAACTGTCCTATGTTGACAACAATAACGAATTAATTTTGAGGTTTTTGTTGAATTTTTATTTCATTTTTAAACCGCATATATACGAAAATAAATGTGAAATGAAGAAATCAAAAAAAAAATTGTTGTTGGTGCTGCCGCAATTTTTGTGGTTTTAATTCGTGAAAAAAAATTGCATTCAATAAGTTTAAACAATTTCACAATATATGCGTATAATTTATTATTTTTTAAATTGTAAATTTATTTAAGTAATTAACTTATTTATTTATGTTTTAAGTGAGTTTTATCAATTTGTTCTATGGGGAATTTAATTTATGTCCCAACAAGTGTGAGCTCTTTTACATTCATAATCGATGATTATTTAAGGTCGAAAAAATCGGTTTTCAACAATATTAGCTTTTCAATCTTGAATTAATAGGCATCTGAAATGAAAATCATTCTTCTTCATATTTGCCAGACATCTTCAAATAAACCATTTCATTAGAAAAAAATGATTCCAATTCATCTTGAATTCTTTGGTCAGCATGTGACATTGACAATAAAACGCTCGACCTTTAGACAATATTCTATTTTTATAGATCACAAAATTTTGATGTGAATCTTTCATAAAGGTCATTCTGTCTACATGAATCTCAATAAATCAATGCACCTACAAAATAATCAATATAAAAGTTACGAATTACGAAAATAAAACATTGACTCGTGTCAGATTTCGAAGAGAGACAGAAGGAATGGCAATCTCATTTTACTACTCTTTGGCTTCAATTTGATTAAAAGTTTTAAAATCTTCGGTACTTGATGCAAGTCAATAAAATCGGAAGCTTGATTTGCAATTTTTCATTTAAAGTTTTTCAATTCTTCAAAAAGTTTTTCCCATTATTTTTGGAAGTTCATTCAAAGACAAAAAACAAACAAATGTAAAACATCGAAATTTGCAAACTTGATTATATTGAAAGAAACTGACGTCAAGGAACTTTTTGCTCTTACGCTTGTGTATTTAAATTAAACATTTCATTTACTACAAATGCTGATTATCCCACAAAAAAAAATTCACTTCAAGCAATTTTCAAATAGAAATGAAAATCTAT